TACACCATGGAATTCTTGGATAAAAATTAAAGTATATAATTCTTTTACAAATTTTACGAGCATTAGATATTAAATCTTTTATTTGCGTGATAAATCAACTCAAGATTCATTACAGTTTGGTGACAAATTAAATAACTGCCTATTATATTTGTTAAGGAGCGGTTGGATAAAATAAATAAATTTCCTTAAAGATATTGATTAAAAACAAAACAGAAAAAAAAAAAATCTCCCTTTTTTTCACGTTATTCCCGCTAAAAGCAAATAAACACAGAAAATCGAACAAACTAAAATCGCGCCGAAGGAAACTAGACGCGCATTCTAGCCGATAATTTTTAGCGGAAAATCGTTTTTTCTTTTTTTATAAACAAACCACGTAAAATACATCAACAACTGTACTCCATAAATCGGTTATAAATATAAATTGCTAGAAGAAATGTAAGCAAATGAATGCAAAATAGTATATATAATCAATTCCATATGATGTTTTTAATATGGTGACGCAGTTGAATGTGTAATATGCAACTATTATCTAAGTGAATCGTTTTAAAATGTGATTACTCCAAATATTAACCGTGTAAATTTCGATGTAAACAGCAGTACAAAGTGTCTCCCGTCAGGAAGGGACAACGAAACACCGCCAATTGAATGCCGCCAAATGAGCGCCGGGACAACTCAGGACCGAGACAACTCAGCACCAAAAAAAAAAAAAAAAAAAAAAAATGATTAAAAACTTAATTAGTGAATAGTTATTAATTATTTTAATGAAATAAATCGTAAAGTAATTTATTTTTAATAAAGTAAAAATATTCACTGATTAACGTTTTAATCCTTAATAAATTACTTTTATTCGGTTATAAAAAAAGTTATGCTTTTCTGGTGCTGAGTTGCCTCGGTCCTGAGTTGACCTGGCGCTCAGTCGGCGGTGTTCAGTTGTCTGCGCCCGTCTCCTCTTGGTGTAGCGTTTAGCAAGCTCGTAGATCATTCATCATAACTTCGACCCTAACTGGGTGCCAAAACTAAACTAAGCATAGTAAAGAAATAACAAATTAACATTAGTACAAAGTTACACTTTTTTTTTTTACTTTTGGGTTATATAAATATCTTAGTGACATAATATATATGTTGTGGTGTCCTCCCTCTAAAGAATCTATGTTAGACTCATCCGCCTACTATAAGATTAGTAGAACAGAAGCCTTCGGGGAATAGTGAATAGTTTGAGCGCTAGTTCATACGATACACTCTCACTAGTCGTGTAATATTCTTCTGGTGTACTTACTGTTTAATATACTATGTATCTGCATAACTGGTTTTTGTTATTACAATATATATAACTAATAATAAATTTTGTGCATAACCAGCTGCACAGCTGACTTACATGCACGATGCAATCGTCAGGGGGATGATTGAAAAATGACCGTTGTAAAAAAAATTAGCTCTGTTATTATCACCGCCGCTCAATATACGGTACGATTTTTATTTCAAACAGTGTGTATTACGTCTATCGTCTTGCGCATTCGAGAAGTCTTAATAGGGAAAATGTGCTCTCCAGCGGGGATCCAAACCCCCCGCCTGCCCTGTGTAGGGAAAGCATTGTTTAATCCGGAGGGCTTTACTACAGAGAACGTCACTATCCGGAAAGCCAAAAATCCATTAGTTCTTTAGAAATTGCTTTGTTTATGTTTCGGATAAGAAGCTGAACCGATATGGAGCTTTCGAGGAAGTGTACTTTTTAAAATGGAAAAGAGTAAGCAACATAACAGCGTTTGAAGTAATACCAATGTCATAATAAAAAATAAATTAATTAATTCTTTATATATATATATATATATATATATATATAATGCATTTAATGGCCGACAAGGTAGTTCTGTATGATTTTTATTATGTTTTTTTTTTGTGTGTGTGTAGATAAGATGTATTTGGGGATATAGAGTATGCAGAGATTATCGAACTGATTGTTCATTTAGGGTTTTTTCAGTTAATCTATTAGCCAATCCTGAAATTTTGGATTCCAAAGTTTTCATTACGACGATTCTTTTACGTGAATTTTTGCGACGAATTTTTTTTCTACGATAACAAATTTTTGTAACTTGGAAATAAATTTGAAAAAAATCGAAATTAATTGCGAAATCCTGCGAAAGTCACCATGAAATAAAAATAGTTGTTTGTACTGTAAGGACCTATGTACATACTTTTCTTTAAATAAAATGGCGACAGAAGAATTATTATTGAACTTTTAAAAGGTAAAATAAATGTTAAAGTAGCAATGAATTTTGAGTACTTTATTGTAGTCTATCAAATCTACTCCTCCTTACCTGTTGGGATGAAGGCCTAATCAAAAGGCCGCCGCAGGAGCTAGCTTAAATACCTCCCTACCGCTATTTTTTAAGCTAGTATATATATATATATATATATATATATATATATATATATATATATATATATATATATATATATATATATATATATATATATATATATATGAGTGATTAGATAAATA